AGAGACAGGGTCCGGCGCTGCCCTGGTGGCGGCGGCGGGGACGAGGTGGGGGGTGCTGGACCGGCCTCATGCACTGCGCCAGGTATGGCCCCGTGGGGCTCGCGTTCTCCTTCCCCCGGTGCTTGCCGTGCCTCCCGGTGTGGGGCCGCAGCCCTCCTCGGGGGTGCGGGGAGGGGTACTGGCGCTCCCCGCCGCGGTGTTGCTGCTGGGGCGGGACGGGACCCTCTAGGCTCGGCGTTCCGGGTGGGCCGGGAGCAGTCACCTCTCTGCCGGGCTCGGTCCTGCTGCCTCTCGCCGAGGTGTCCCGGTGCGGCTGGGCGGCCCGTCTTGGCTGAGGTTTGCGGAAGGGACGGGCTGTAGCAGGGTTAACGTATTGCCCACACCGCGGGGAAAAATGTCTGAGGGCTGGGCAGTGCCCTTGAAACAGCCCGGCCTTTCCTCAGTCAGAGAGGAGAAGAGGGCAGAAAACCTGAGTGCTGCTTTATCCAGTAGTGTGTCACGTCTAAAAACTTCTGGCTTAACAGCTGCTGCACATCAAGCCCTCTGCAAGGGTTACCTATTCACAGGCAGAGCTGGAAACAGAACTGAGGCAGTTGGAGGGTTTTGATAAGTGTAGTTGTTCTCAAAAATTTCAGAATAATTCTTTTGCTTTGGAATGGCTTCTCCTTTCTAGAAGTTGTGGACTTCCTCTTCTGGAGAGGGTAAAGCTGTGGGAAGATGTCCAGAGGTAGAATCTAGTCTGCCTTCTTTTTGAGAGGAGGGGCAAAGGAATCAGCCCCCTACATGTGTAGGGCTGCTGCCTTGCACTGCTTGCTTCCTAGAGAAGTATTTCCCTTCTGCTTGCTTCTCAGAACTATCTCCCCGCTCCTACCTTCAAAGCATCTGAAGTTTAAGACAGTCAGCACTAGCCCCAAAATGGAAACCTTCCTCTGTGGCTGGGAGTTGGGCATCAGTAGGCTGTCAAGAGTAAAAAGATCTGGGGTAGCAAATGAGCTGAAAAAGTTTGTAAAAGTATGCAGCTCAGCCTAACAGTAGGTATGAAAAGCTCTTACTGTAGTTCTTAGCTTGGAAAAAAGCTCTGAGCAATGCAAATCAGGCTGGATATTTCATGCCTCTTCATTCTAAAAATTGTGAATAACCAAGGCTTACTAAGAAACCTGACTTCTGAGCAATTAGGGGAACTCAGCTGAATAAATTTCCCTAGGAAAAGATGCAATGTGGATGAAACTGGCCTAAGTAAGAGAAGTGTTGCGGGCTGCATTAATTTAAAGGAGGAAATGGCCTATATAAAGTGTGCATGAAAAAGCTTGGCAAAACCAGGTAGAGATGAGAATGGTGTTAGTCGACAGGTGGATCTTCTGTCTGTCTTGTACAGCGGCGCTTGAGCTGAAAGGAGGCAATGCAGAAGGAGGTACCTGGTGAGTGTATTGGGAAGCGAGCCTTCGTATGTGTTTTCTAAATAAACAGATGCTCTTGCTGAATGGAGGCTGTGAAAGCCTGCTCAGAGCTGCTCTGTTAGTGTTGCAGGGTGGGAAGTTAAAGTACTGAATTGGAGAGTGTAGCTCTCGCTTTTTCTTGGCATTGGGGCAGCAATCAAGTACTAGAGCTGGCTGTGCGTGGCTTTGGCAGCCCGAGCTCTGCTGTATCACATGGCCAGTGGCCACTGCTACCGCTGCTGGCTTGCCCTGCACTGCATGGTGGGAGCAAGCTTTGGAGCCTGGCCTGCAGCCAAACAGGAGATTTTTATTAAGGGAATGCTCAGTGTTTAAGGTCAGCTGCCACGCAGTTGACTTATGGGGGATGTGTGCGATAAATTTGTCCAGTGATATAGCCACAGCCAGGCCAAAGATTCTGCCCAAAAGCATCCAGCCTAGCCTCAGTGTAAGGGTAGGAGCAATGGGTATGATGTTCTGGGAGCTGCCTGGCTGCAGAGGCAACTCCAGAGCTACATCTGGCAAGGTGCTGGGTGGGTGCACAGAGGGATGGTGATGCATACCTGGAGGAAGAGGCTGGATGCAGGAGGAGGAGAGGCTGTGGTGGAGTGATGTACAGCCTGTGCCTTCTGGAGGAAGTACTTCTTTCCAAAGGCTTGGTCAACCTTGAGTAGGTGAGCTGTATTTTGGCAGAGTGCTGTGGCTATATGGGTGTTTCCCAGGGGCTCAGCACAAGCACTGTGGAGTCTTGAGGTGCAAACTGCGCTGGAGGTAAAAACCTGCTGGGCCATCTGAGCTCATATCTGTTTTAAAGTGCAGCAGCAGGAAGAAAGAGGCTCCCTCTAAGCAATGTCAGCTATGTCTTTACCCTGCTGCTGTATCAGGCTGTTGCTATCCTTACAGTACTACTTCTGGCATTTTAGATGGAGCATTTCAGGGAGACACTGATGATCAAAGTATGTAGCTCAACCAAACAAGTGATTTTTAGACTCTAAAAATACCAGACATTTGGAGTTTTATGAAAGCTGAGGTTAGTTGTGTACAGCAGTTTGTGACAAACTGAGTTCCTGCTCCTACAAAAGCATCTGATGCCCTGGGGAGAGTCTCTACTGGAGTGAGGAGAGCGCAGCAGGAATACTGCTTTATGTCACACTGAAATTTGATAATCTCTGGGTTTTGTGGACATCAGCAGGACTGAGCCATGGGCTTTGCTTTGGGCCAGAAATGCTCTCAGCCTGCTACTGCTAGCCTGGTAGGGCAGTGCCTGTGTGTGTCTTCAAATGGTGACTCTGTCCCTGTAGCAATTGGAATAAATCTTGTTCAAGGGCACAACAGGCTCTGGTCCTTCTACTTTTGCTTGTGGCACGTTTCTCAGAGTGTTTGTAAATCACACTGTGCAAGTACCTGCCTTGTAATTAAGCTTGAGGGACTTGTGGGGTTCATGAAAGCAAGTTTATGTGGGATGGTTTGGGGGCACTGGTGTAGCAGTTGTCTGACAGAAGTCATATTAAAATGCTTTTCTAACATCAACTGACCCTTCTTCTCATCTTCCAGAGTATTAGACTATTTTCCTCACAAACAAGCAATGGCTGTGGATGTAGCAATGCAGCTATACCTATGCTCTTCACCATTGCGAAGAGAGAAGTGTGCTTGCAAAATTGCTCCAAAGCCAAGCAAGCCGTTGCGGCCCTGCATCCAGCTGAGTAGCAAGACTGCACTGAATGGACCAGAAGAGACAGCAAACTCCTTCACACACAACAAAGTGAAGAAGAGGGTGTCATTTGCAGATAGCAGAGGCTTTGCTCTGACGATGGTGAAGGTGTTCTCAGAGTTTGATGATCCACTTGATATTCCTTTCAACATCACTGAGCTAATAGACAACATTGTGGGTCTGACAACAGTGGAGAGGGACAGCTTTGTTCTGGATTTTGTCCAGCCCTCTGTGGACTACCTGGACTTCAGAAACCGTCTCCAGGCAGACTGTGTCTGCCTTGAAAACTGTATGCTTAAGGAGCGATCCATTGTGGGAACAGTGAAGGTAAAGAACCTCGCTTTTGAAAAAACTGTGAAGATCAGGATTACATTCGACACCTGGAAAAACTTTGTAGATTACCCATGCCTGTATGTCAAGGATACGTATGGAGGGTCAGATCGGGACACGTTTTCCTTTGACATCAGCTTGCCTGAGGGAATTCAATCCCATGAAAGAGTAGAGTTTGCCATCTCCTTTGAGTGCAATGGGAAGGTGTACTGGGACAGCAACAAGGGCACAAATTACAGGATCACACGGTCAGAACTGAAGTCAGCCCAGGAAGCCATCTGCACCCCACGGGGTCCTGACTTCAGCAGTGCCTTTGACCAGTTTGGGAGCCCTCGGTGCTCCTATGGCCTCTTTCCTGAGTGGCCCAGCTATTCAGGCTATGAGAAGCTAGGGCCTTACTATTGACCCAAGGGCAAAGTCCTGACTGACTGTTGCTGGTGTATCTGCAGGCCTGGGAGCTGGTCTGAATGCGGGGTGTACGGAAAGGTGGAAGAAGTATGGCTCCGTGTAGCTCTGCATAAGCCTCCCACAAAACCAGATGTGCAGTGCTCTGCTGGCAGTGTACTTATAGTCAGGGAAGCACTTCTGACATAAAGAGCTGCCTTCCCCGTCCCAACTCAGATAAATGGCTCTCCAGATGCTCAAAGGTCCAGGAGCTGTTGCTCATGTCTCCAGTGCTGCTACTCCTTCCTCTTCTATAAAGCTGCTAGTCTCCAGGGAAACACTACAGTGTGCTTATATTGTCTGTCCAAGCTATGTAGCGGTGGCTGGTTTGTATTGCTTGCCTAGTGTTAAAAGGCTCTTTCAAAATATGTTCTAGTATTATATTTTTAGTGGGTTGTACTTCAGCTGCAGAGTTCTCCTTGCAAAGCTGGCCCGTGCCTGTTGGGTAATAGAGACTTTGGTTTGTGGGGAATGGAGTTGTCTCCTTTCAGATGTCCTTGTAGTATGAGGTCCTTCCAACTGGAGGCAGAAGGGATGTGTTGAAAATGAAATGCAATTGTGATGACAGGAAATGTGGCCCTACAGCCTGCCATATTAGGAGACATATGTGCCCGTGGGAGAGGATCTGATATGCTTAGTCACCAGTTGTTTTATCAGCTGATCTTGAAAAAACTCTCTTTATACCCTTGGTGTTACCAAAAATAGAGATTAGCTATAGCTGTGCGGTGCTTGTAACACAGCTGTGGGTTGACAGCCTTGACTGCCTTCTTCAAAACCTTCCAGTTTCTTTAATCACAAGTGATCAATGATGCTTTTTCTCCTTGATGGACATCTGAAGTCAGCTGCTGGCCTTGCTGGGCCCTGAAAATGCAGATCTTCCTCCTGTGGACTGTAAAACAGGGGTTTGGCTGGGACGCAGAGTCCTGTGCAGGAGGCTGAGCTCAGATGTTACAGGAGATAAATGCAAATGGACCACATGTCTACTCTCTGTTGTGTCCTGTTATAAGAAAGTGACTGTTGTGTACTTACTGTGGTGGAAGTGCCTTGACTGAGAATGGGATGGTATGTGCAATCCCAGCAATGCTTTGGGATAAACAGGCTTTGGAAATGACATTGCTTTTAAAAAAAGATTATCTAATAGTTTGTTACTCTGTGCCATGGACTGTTTGGCAGCTAATGGTATAGCATTGCTCGCATGTGAGGATGCTGTGTCTATACTGGATGAGCATCATTGACATGCTGGGCTTCCGTTGCTGTTGTAGGGGTAGCTGCCATTTCAACCTATAAATGCTCAAATTTTGCATCTGTGTGTCCATAAGAAGCAGCTCACCCCACACATGCAAAGAATGAGCTGTGAGGAGTACAGGATGTGGGGTTATCCTTATACCACCCCTGGATGTGAAACAAATCACAGATGTGAGCCATCCCTATCTTCACAGAGGTGGTTTGTCTTCTGGGCCCGCACTGAGGTGAGATGGCCAGCCTGTGCAGCTTCAAACAGCCTCACAAAGCTTCTTGCATGCTAGATGAGCAGAATAACTTAATCCCTCAGCTCAAAGGGAGAGTGCTGAATAGTTTGTAGAAATAGAGGTCAAGAGAATCTTACTTTTTCTAGTATATAAGCTTTACATAATTTTTTTGAGTGCCTATAAATAGCCTTTGGATGGGCTGGAGAGAAGTGATGGGCTAGACTACTTAACTTTTTAAAACCTAGCTTTTAATTCTGGAGACTACTGTAGAAAATACTTACAAGATGTTTTACCCTAACCTAGAAGGGATACTCTGATCACTGTTGGATGCTGAAAGAGGCAAGAGCTTCCAGGAAGAATAGCTAGCCTTCAGCTGCTGCTTTTTCAAAACTCAACATCACTGCATGTCATCTCTGCTTGATCACTTAGCTGAGGTGGTAAATCTACTTGCCCAGTGTTCATTAGGCTTGATTCCTCTGTTCAGACAGCTTCCCAGGTCAGCACTTATAACGTGCAGCTGGTCTGTCCTGAAGGGACTGTTGCCTAGCTTGGCTTGAACCTGGTTTTAAACTTAAAGCAAGTCTGAGTGACACTGATTTATTTCTTTTAGTGTATGGTGTAAATGCTGTAAGACACTGACTGTACAAAAGTCATGTTCTCATGCCTATGGAGAGCTGTTTGTGAGCCGAAACAAGGCATGTGTGTTTGGGGTGCTGTGGATGGTGGTATCTCCTTATGGGGCCTGTTTTTTTCAGGCTGTGGATGGAGTATGCTTAGGGAGGAACATGGAAGATAAGCTAGAAGAGTAATGCCATAAGTAAAAGCTAGGCTGGGAATTATTTGACCAATAGTGGGTTAAAAAATACTTGTGGCCTTTCCCCTTTTTCCATTGCCAATGTGAACATAGAAGTAAGAGGTTGCTCTCCTTGCTCTATGCCTGGAAGTGCCTTGTGGGGTGTTTTGCATGTTTGTTTTTAAAAAGATATTTTTGTACACAACATTCAAGTGGAAAATGCACTTTATAATTGCCATGTAATGACTCTTAAAACTATGGTTCTGTTTTTATCTGATTGTTAAAATAAAGGTGGAACAAAATGTTGGCTGTGTCTTGCTGTCATCTTATTTAAACACCCACGGGCTGGGGAGGTGATTTGGCCATGGGACCAGCTTCCTGCAAGCGGCTATCGGCAGGGAGGAGCACACATCTACAGTGGACTCTGCTGCCTGAAACAGGAAAGAGCTGCCTATTCCTGCCAACCCAAATGTTTCCAGAGCCTCTGCAGCCGCAGGAAGGAGGTGAGGAGCCAGGCTCTTGCCTCAGTGCGCCGATTTCTTCAGGAATCGCGGTGTTCCTGAGCTACTCTTCACTCTTCCCTTGCTTGCAGTGCCAGGAACAGCCTTCTCGGGTTTTTCTGCATTTGTTTCAAGGCAGTCTCAGTCCTTCCTTTCCCCCCC